TTCTGCTGACCTGGGCTCTCATCTCATTTGAGACCTTTAATGTTTGTCCTATAACTCAATCAAGGGTATCTAATGTCTTTGAGCCTTATGAATTAAACAGAACCTAGGAAGATATAAAGGGCCACCAAAACTGCTGATGTGTTGCTGCTAAAACAGTATATTAATTCCTCTGCTTACCTTGGACTTGGGAGATAATTTATAAGAGAGTAGGAAGGTAGTAAGGATTTAAGATTTTGTCAGCCTTCTTTCTTTTTCATGTTTCAGGATTTCTATATCCTCGGTTCCCCCATTTTTAAGTTTTATGGCATGAAGACACGCCTCTTTGTTTTGGTTGTCTTAAGTGAAACTCTGGCTTTTAAATAGTATTATTTCATTAGGTACTAGGATCTGCAGTCTTCACACTATCATTCTGACTTTTTCACTTAGTGTAATTTAACTTGAATTTTACTTTAGGAGGCATCTGCAAACCAAAGCTCATCAGCAAGTCCAGCAACAGGAAGTCTAAGTCCCCCATTCCTGGACAGGGCTACCTGGGAGCTGAGCGACCCTCCTCTGTCTCCTCCGTTCACTCAGAGGGTGATTACCACAGGCAGACACCAGGGTGGGCCTGGGAGGACAGGCCTTCTTCTACAGGTGAGAAGCTAGGTTTATCTGGTAGAAAATGAGACTTAAAGTAATTTGTATGAACATTTTATCACTTCCTCAAAAAATCAGTATTGTTATTCCCATCTCTGTATCATTTAATAGGTCCTGTGTTACAGAATAGAAATTGAATGCATATAATCATCTAACGTTTTAATGCAAGTTCTGACATAGAGCTATGAAAAAGTAATCTTATTTATTCTCCTTACTTCTGTATTATGTGTGTTGGTAACCAAAATTTACTGTTTCCAAAGCAGTAGTCTAAAGGAATAGCACCTAAATGTTAAATACTACTCCTGAGGCAACTTTACCTTTAGCCTTTCATATGGACATTCTTAGAGAAGGCACTTGGAAAATACCAAAAAATCAAAATCAGAAATAGAAAAGTTTTAAAAAGTCATCTGTCTGGGGGGTCACTATATTTTCCATGTTGTGCCTTTTTATAAACTTACAACTGTGATAATGATAGATTTTAATAAAACTAAGATATTTAATAAGAATTTCAGAATTTTTTTTTTCTTTTTTCTGTTACCAGGGATTGAACTCAGGACCTTGTGGTTTGCAAGGCAGGCACAGTGCCACTGAACTAAATCCCCAGCCCAGGGTTTCTGAGAATTGTATGTTATCCTTTTCTTAGCAGGTTAAACACACATAAATGTTATACACAGAAAAAATCTATACTGTCTCTTCTCCCTTACAACATAAAAATAAGCTGGGTATGGTGGTACACACCTATAATCCTGGCATTCAGGAGGCTCAGGCAAGAGGATCACTGCGAATTGGAGGCCAATCTAGGCTACATAATGAGTTCAAGGCCAGCCTGAGCTACATAACGAGACACCTGTCTCAAAAAAAACAAAAGATATAATTCATATATCAGTACAGTTTAAGACTTTTCCCTTATAAAATTTTCATGCCACATGAAAATCAATGTGTATTAGTCTATTGCTGCTTCTCTAATTAATCTTAGTAAAGGCGGTATTATGAGACCACACAGGAGATTGTTTGAGAAAATGGCTTTATGGTTTTAGTTTTTTAAGCTATAGAAGGTGTTCTGAGGACAATATAACCATGTAGAAATCCACAAAAGGCAGCAGTGCTCATTTGTCCCACTTGTAGATCTTATTCATTGAGATTCTGTAGATGACACACATCTTGCTGCCTCTTCTCTGCTGAAATTCCTCGTTACTTGTCCCCTCACCTTCTGAAAACTGTATTACTCCATTTGTTGTATAAAGCCAAGAAATTACTTAGTGTAACCAGACTTTACTTCGGTTACAGTGTAATATTCCATAGTTCCCCTTAGTGTTGGTGGTTCAGTGGTGAGCGTAGCTGCCTTCCATAGTTTCACTAAGTCTAGCCCTGGGATTTTCTCTTGTGCACTCAACAACTCTCTCTCATTTGCTTATTCAGTATAATTTGTCCTTTATAAACCAGGAAAGTGGTGAAACCTTGGCCCTTCTATGGTGTATTAACTTTTGTTTTTGTTGTGTTACACAAACATTTTGTGCTATCCCATCCTGTAATGCTTGGATTAGATGAAACGGCAGGTGTGCTTGTAACACTGAAAACCTAATTTTCCTTTTGTCAGGCTCAACTCAGTTTCCCTACAACCCTCTGACCATGCGGATGCTCAGCAGTACGCCACCAACACCAATCGCATGTGCCCCCTCTGCCGTGAACCAGCCAGCCCCTCACCAACAGACCCGGATCTGGGAGCGGGAGCCCGCCCCTCTGCTCTCTGCACAGTATGAGACGCTGTCAGATAGTGACGAGTGAACTGCACAGAAAGGGGAATTGGGGGCAGGGCCCAGAGAAAGCTCCAGTTTCTGGTTGTTTCATTTTAATTACAGGTCAAAACCCAGCCTTCCTGTGACTGTGCCCAAAGACTTTTCAGAAGATCCAGGGACACAGAGATGAAGAAATGATGAAAATTCATTTGGAAGAAAACAAAAACCTGCCTTTGATACAGGCAATTCAGTGGATTATAATAATAGTGGAGGGTTGAAATGTAGAATTTTTAAAAAGTGGACAATTCCTGTTCTTACATCTGTTTGTAAAGAAAAAAAAAAATCACTCTTCTGTAAATAGATGACCTTTTTGCAGTGTATCCCCTTGCTGTAGTACTTGGTGTACTTATGTTCAAATCAGCGCATCAACATTGGGGGTAATTTTTAAAAATCTTTTTAACCCTTGCCTTCTAAACAACCTCATACAGCCCATTTATATAATGCTGGCTGTCACGGGCATTGTACTTTGATCTGATTTTCTTTCTCTTAAATTCAGCTTCCCAGTGATGTTTAAAATCTTGTGAAAATGTTTAATTTTTTACACAGACCCTGATATAAAACCTGTACATTAGGGTCAAAAGGTAGGAGCAATGAAATTCTGCCATATTGTAAATTTCCAGTGTAGGCTTTAATTTTTTTTCATTAGTAGCACTGAAAAAATACTATTGCATGGGTATGTTATACTTGTTTTTAAAGTTTTAAAGGCTTATTTGAGGCATACCTCACTGTTATGCACACTGGTAATTTAACCATGCCCCTAAATACTCCTTCTGCATTTGATGCAGCCCAACAAAGCTTTTGTTTTGAAATAAATAACTGCCCTGTCTATAGCTACAGAAGATTGTGACTTAAGACTCTTGGTGTCTCAGGTTTCAAAGGAAAAACAATTTTTCTTCAATTTGACATATATAATTGGTTAAAAGAATGATCTATATATATCTGTCTTTTTGACTTGTTTTGGTACTGCATCCTGAACAAATCTTTCCCACCTCTGTCCGCGCCTACTTCAGGAGTTTACTGTTAATGTTTTCACTTCACAGATCTGCAAGGTGCAAATAATGTAAAAGATTGAATTCTAACCTAACTGTGGTACGGGGGTAAGTTTTATCCCTCATTAAGATTTGCTGAATTTTCAGGGTTTTTTTTCCATATACTTAGTTACTAACAATTTTGGGAGAATGCCACTCATAACTGGAAGAGGGGAAAAAGAGGTCTCTCAGGATGATAAAAACTAGCACTTTACAGATTTTCAAGTAAGCCAAAACCTCTAAACAAAAGTACTCAAGCTTCTTAAGGAAGCAGTTCTACAATTAATCACTGACTGACACCCTATCACTAGCAGCACCGGTGTCTAATTCCTGTTTTACAGATGAAGATAGGTTTAATAATGCTTTCCTCATCTAATTCAGTAAATGACAAACACAGGCCATTGCCCGTGTTTGTCTAGTCAAGGCCTTCATGCTTGTCACTGTTCTGCTCTTGTGCACTTGAGGTCCTCAAAGCAAACTTTAGATCAGAGTTGGTGGTCAGAGTTCCTATTATTTGGAAAGTTACTACCTTTCTAGTAATATTTACAAGTATAATTATAACATGAATGAAAAGTGATGACTAAATGTTCTAAACAGTTTTCTCCTCAGTTTTTTTCAGGTACCAGTAATATTCTAGAACTTAATTGCTAACTGACCCCAAAAAGTCCAGTATTATTTTTCTATAACCCTGAGTGTCTTAATCTATTTAGAGTCAGACTAGAGCCTGACTTGTTATTTTTGCAGTTCTAGTTGAGGGACCCCAAGGTGAGCGGATGCTAACAACCACTCACTACTCCACCCTCATCACAGCACTTGTGTGATTACTTCACCTACCATCACTTAGAGAAGAAATTTCAGAGTAGGAGATAAAATCCAGTATCACTTCTTAGTTAAAAGTGATGAAAGGTCAGAATTCTCGTACGGCTTCCTTATGGAAAAACTGAGAGAGGTGGAAGTTCATCTCAACATGATGCCAACTGCAAATATAGCTCTGACAGTGGCTGATGACTTGTGAAGCCAGCTGCAAACAAAGGCATGACTGTGCAGGCTTAGATTCAGTATTCTGATGCTGTATCTTTAGGCCTAACTTTTTAGCACCAAGAACTAAACTAAGGTCTTCCAATCCTACTCATAGAAATATTATGACAGCCAATTTTCCAGTGCATGTTTACAGTTGAGAATTTCATAAATGCTTTAATTTTGGAATGTTGATTGATTCTACTTTAAATATTTATGCCCTGAAAACTCCAGAGACAGTACAGAAATTTACGCTATTTTAAACATTTTAATTCAAACCAGTAAAGGAGATCAGTGCTCCTTTTGCTTCACTACCATGTTTTACACCAGTGCAAATGAACTTCATTGAGAATACCTACATGCAGAGACTGTCTTTTTTGAAAACTACTAGTTTTTCCAGAAGTGGGACCATGAGCTATTTCATTGTGGAGGACTAAAAGCTCTTAAATAAAACATGGAGTTTTAACCTAACTTTTAGTACCCTTGCAATTGTGAAAAAGTAAAAACATTCTCAATACACAAGGTGAGTGGTTGACAATTTTTTTTAAATCAATAAAGAAGACTGGGTTGCACTGAAAATCTAATCATCTCTCAGATTTAGATTTGATTGATGGAATTAGCTGGGTGGTAAGTAATAAGCCTAGACAGAAAGAAAGAAATTTGTATCTGCAAAATACAAAACTCTATTTCTAGTCTAACCCTTAAGGATTTGAATCTCAAGGTTTCTATTTTGTTTTTATTAACTTCATTATTTTTCTATGAGTAACCCAAAGATTACTGGAATGCATACAGTGTTATAGAGTTTCTAGTTTATTATGAAAAGCTTCTTCAGTATATACATAAGAACCAAAAATAGCAGTTTACCAATTCCACCTTCCCAACACACACAGGCATATCAACAATATTAGTGTTCCTTCGCAGTACCTAGAAAAACTGTCTCCCCGCTACCCCCAAACAAATAGCTAGCTGCAAGACTGAAGTAAGAGCATCAATATGTGTCTTGTATTTACATATTTTGAGGCAGTGTGATAAATCTCTCTCAACATAGTAGTCTATTCATTTAAAAGTCATATCACCAGATTCCTTCCCCCATGGCTAAGAAAAAAATCTTGTTTATTCCTCACTTGTAGGTGAGGATACTGAGATTCGAAAAATCAGAAAGCCAGGACTAACTAACTAGGATCCAGGACAATGGTTCTACTATACCAGCAACACACATCAGAATTACTGGTTTTTAAATCTACACTTGTAAAACCCTAATTTAAGTCAGAGGTCTAAGTATAATCCAGGTGTATCTTTAAAGAGGACTGCTTGTTGACCACAGAATGCTCAGAGAGTATTGACAAGCAAGAGGTTATTACATCATTACTCCCCACCACCACGTTTAATAGCTAAATAAAACCAGGCACATAGTTCACTTTTATTAATAACCAAGTGGGTACTATATTCACAAGTGCCAATGTTCACTTTAAAACTTTACGTAGAGTGCTGGTGGCAGTGCTCCTTTATGCATTAAATCTCACACTACGCTTTGTGAAATAGTTTGTAATAGAAATAACTCACCATAATCCCCCTCTGCCATAAGATAAGTAGCTTGGTCTGCCAGATATTGAAGAGAAGAAAGGGCAGTAAATCAGTGAACCAAAATCTTAGAGATAACCAAGTATAATTACCATACCCAAAGGATAACTGGCCCATCTCAAATCTAATTAGACTAGCATGAACACCACCTCATCATGTTACAACAGAAACCATCACTTAACATCAGTCCTTAGATGTCACAATTAATTGGGTCAGTTATTTTTCCTTTAAAAACAAAACTGGTAGTGTATACAACTTGTCCTTCACCAAGGTTATACGGAGGAAAACCAAATATCAAGAACAAAGGATTTACACGATTGATTTGGGTGCCACAGACATTGGAATAACTATTCCTGTTGTTTACCAGAAATTATTCTCCCTACAACAAAAATAGATTTAGAGATTGATAAAGTTAAGTCAAAGATTTTTTTCTCAACAGCTCAGCCAATTCTTCCCTGATGTGCTGTATAGAAACCTCATCTCTTTTCAGCTCTGCTTGCTTCAGTGCTTCCTGGTAGATCTCTTTTGCTTGTGTGTATCGTTCTAAAATAACCCAAAGAAAAGGAAGAAGAAAATGTGTGTTTTCAAAGTAACTATGAAGAGAGAGTACTAATTAGGATACAGAATATAGGTCTAATTTGCTGTGTGCTTACTAAGTGATAGGCTGATCCTACTTCGTTTTAGCCCTATTTAACAAGCTGCCTTAGGTCAGATCTGACCCAGGTCGAAGAACTCCTAGCCACTGAGTGCTGTGGGATTCCTAACTGCCTTTTCTGAGATACACTGGGGCCTTCACTCAACCAGACAAGGACTTCACAGTGGTCTTCCATATAATAGCTGTCCATCCAGGGTTGCTGCAAATGATAGGTGAACATCTAAGCAGTATAGAGTAATGACACTCAGTCGCTGTAATGCCAGCTTTACCAGCACAGTGTGCAAAATGAATTGTAATGTGAGAACATATAGGAATCTATAAAGCACTATCAAAATAAGATAGTGGGCTGGAGATTTGGCTCAGTGGCATCCTGCCTGCCTGGCAAGCACAGGTCCTGAGTTTGATCCCCGGTACTGAAAAAAGTCAAAACAAAACAAACAAAAAGGAAATAAGATACTATCATTACAGAGTTTTCTTTAAACTATACAATTCATCAGGCTAGTACAGACATAGAAGTTAGGTGATTAAGGGAAATGGCTCTTCAACCTAACATTTCTATCTTCCTTCGACCAGCTTTTTGAATTTATGAGTTTCCTCATTGCCCCTTGCCCTCCCTAAACACCTTTTCACAAATTTATAAACCCAGTAACATCCCTTTATAAAACAAGTCAGTTAAGTTTCCTTTCCTACCTACCTCTGTGTATCAAAATTGCAGCTAGATTACTGAGTACCATGTGCAACTCAGGATGATTTATCTGTCTTGCCAGATCTGATGCTCTCTGCATATAAACATAGGCCTCATCAAAGTGGCCTTGTGCATCCAAGGTAGTAGCCAGGTCACTCATCAGCACAATTGTCTGCAGATTAAAAACAGAAACAACTAGGTTTTTCTTTAAGAATGCATCTACACAGAATGTTAATTTGACATTTGCTAAATTGTGAGTATACACAATTTTCATCTTTCCTAACATTCCATATAAGGTGAAGCGTGCCAGTCTTTAACAATTTGTAGACAGTTGCTATGCATTCAGTACAGGACAGTATTAATTCAACTCTCTGACAAATGATACAAATACAGAAACTAGGGACAGGGTGAGTATTATTAATCCAACTATTACAATAGAAGCACCAAATGAAAACTAAGAAGCTATAATATCTGACTGAGAGTTCAGCAATTTTGAGAAGCCAGCTTCCTAGCATCTGTCTGCAGAGTCTCACTGTATGATAACATCATTCCTGCTGGTGATCTTGAGGCTGATCAAAATACAAAGAAGCATCTATTTTATGAAGAGTCTCATTAAGAATATTTAAATTTTTGGTACAAAGACAAGCTTCCATACTTTACCCTCCACTTTTTGCCATCTGATTCTAGTACGTGGTGTTCTGAATTCTATGTTTGCCATCTTATCTTCACAAAAGTCCCCTTACCTTAGAGCACACTCAGTGAAATGTCCAAAATTCCTTCCCTGGAGGTCATTCATAGCTCAATCTTCCCAAACATTTCACGTTCAGCTCAGTTAAAATCTGTCTTATGTTGTGGCTGGAAGCATTCATGGGTAAAGTAATCCCCCCTCCTTACCTCTAAGAATTACTTTGATAGAAGAAAGTCAGATTTCAATTCAATGTATTTAGTTTCAACAAAGTTTTGCATGTTGTGTTTAAATTCTAAAATACTGCATCAGTTTTAAAATTTAATGCAGTCCCTCTTAACTCCCTTAACTCTGAAACAAGGGAGGGAAGGAAACTCACACATTAACCCGATTCTTTTAATGGAATGTCTGCAGAGTCCATTCAACACAGGCTCTATACTCTGAAGCTACAGAAGCACCAGGTGCTTGGTTAGACCTGCCTCACAGAAAGACTGGTCTCTTGTTCAAACCCTGAGTCATGCAATGGGTTCTGGGTAGACTGATTAGCAATCCCGAATCCTTATAACCTGAGTGCACGTGGGCTCCTGGTAACTGAATGGTCTAGGCTTGAGGATACACCCACTAATTTTGTTCCAGTAAGCGTGGAACTTCGGTTTCTCAAATCTGTCTTTTGCTTTGTTACCTGTGGGTGTCTTTCTCCTTGTATTTCTTCAGAAATCTGCAGAGCTTTTTCATACATCCTTTGTGCCTGTGATGGCTGTTTAGAAAATAGAAGGTATCGTGCACAGGCATCTAAGCACATGCCCAGGAGCAGGTGGGTATTAGCTTTTTCTTCCACTAAAAAGGAAATAAGAACATCGTGGGGATATAATAAGTATGTTACAGAAGAAGGCAAGACAAAGTTAGCCAACCAATCTCATCATTTTGGTTACAAGGATCCACAAATGTTTCAGGTCATTCCAACTGAATGACATGCTGGACTAGTTAAAAATCATGGAATTTCCCCACACACACTTTAAGTAGATTAATATTCCAAAGAGATGAAATGTGAAATTTATCAAAACAAAACAGATGAGGGGCCAGAGATTTAGCTCAGTAGCACTGCACCTGCCTTGCAAGCGCAGTCATGAGTTCAATCCGCAATACCAAAAAAAACCAAAAAACAAACAAAAGCCCAAAAGCACAAGTCGCTCAGTTGTAGAGTCAATGCCTAGCATGCACAGCCCTGGGTTCCATCTCCACACTGCCAAAAACAAACAAAACCTAGGTAAGTATAAGAATAAAGTGACAAGTGATTCTAGTAGAAAACTATTACTCCGGTTAGCAGGAATGGGAATTAACTAGAGTGGAAAGAAGACAGAAAGCATAATTAATGAGGCATAATTCTAGCTATATTTCTAAGAAGTGCCAGGTGTGGTGGCGCACACCTGTAATCCCAGAATTTGGCAGGCTGAGGCAGGAGGACTGCCATGAGTTTGAGGCCCACCTGGAATACATAGTGAGTTCAAGGCCACCCTGAGCTACACAGTAAGACCCTGTCTTAAAAAACCAAACATTACATTTTTTTCTAAGAATTTTTTTTTTTTGGACCAGGGATTCAACTCAGCACCTTGTGCTTGCAAGGCACGCACGGTGCCACTGAGCTAAATCCCTGGCCTCTAAGAAGTATTTTTTAAATACATTTAAATGTATAGAATATTCTGACCTCTACAAAAATAGAAAAATCTTGTTAAAAGCCGAAATAAAAGTGCACTATAACAGAACTTTCAGAAAATAAAAAGTCTCCATAAGAAAACTGTTAACAGGGCCCGGAATTTAGCTCAGTGGTTCTGCCACCTGCTTCTATTGAAGCATAATTCTTAAAACAATAATACAGAAACTACTAAAAGATAAATCAGACAGCTTAATAACAACTGACAATAAACTGAAGTTCTTTATATGAAGCTCCCAAAGAATCACTTGAACCTGGTAAAAGGGACACAGTTATATCTCAGACATATTTTTCAAGAATTATCTCTAGTTACAGAAAAACAGATCCACTAATGAAAAGTCAGTACATGAACCCAGGCATGGCAGCACATGGCTGTAATCCCAGTACTCTGGGAGACTGACACAAGAGTACCCAACTTGGGCCTTAGT